CTGACAAATGAGATTTAATGTCTCCTAAGTCCCTTTTGCGAAAACGGGGGACAATAATGCCCTTGCTGTTCTTGAGATGAAGATTTATGATGGAAAAAATCCCCTGTATTTTTCTATGTAATTCTTTGGATCCCCATATGTGGCCCCACCATACCCCAGTGGGTCATAATTTGATCAAATTTGAATCTACACTAAGTCTATGTAAAAAAAGTTTCAACTTTTTGGGCCCAGTCAGTGGTTCGTGATAAGACTTTTTAGCTCACCTGAGCCGAAGGCTCAAGTGAGCTTTTCTGATCACTTTTTGTCCGGCGTCCGTCTGTCTGTCTGTCTGTCTGTAAACTTTTAACATTTTCGACTTCTTCTCAAGAACCACTGGGCCGATTTCAACCAAACTTGCCACAAAGTATCCTTGGGTGAAGGGGATTCAAGTTTGTTCAAATGAAGGGCCACGCCCTCTTTCAAGGGGAGATAATAAAGAATTAGTGAAAAATTAATAGCATCTTTTAAAAATCTTCTTCTCAAGAACCACAGGGCCAGGAAAGAATAAACTCATGTGGAAGCATCCTCTGGTAGTGTAGATTCAAGTTTGTTCAAATCATGACCCCTGGGGGTAGGGCGGGGCCACAATGGGCGATCAAAGTTTTACATAGGAATATATAGGAAAAACCTTTAAAAATCTTCTTCTCAAGAACAGCAAAGCCATGATGAGTCATATTTATATTGAAGCATCCTCAGGTAGTGTAGATACAAGTTTGTTCAAATCATGACCCCCGGGGGTAGGCGGGGCCACAAAGGAGGATCAAAGTTTTACATAGAAATATATAGGAAAAATCCTTAAAAATCTTCTTCTAAAGAACAGCAAAGCCATGATGAGTCATATTTATATGAAAGCATCCTCAGGTAATGTAGATTCAAGTTTGTTCAAATCATGGCCCCGGGGTTTAGGGTGGGGCCACAATGGAGGTTCAAAGTTTTACATAGAAATATGTAGGAAAAAACTTTAAAAATCTTCTTCTAAGGAACAACAAAGCCCTGATTGATTGTATTTATGTGGAAGTATCCTCAGGTAGTGTACATTCAAGTTTGTTCAAATCATGGGTAGGGCGGGGCCACAATGGAGGATCAAAGTCTTAAATAGAAATATATAGGTGAATATCTTTTTCTGAAGAACTGCAAAGCCATGATTAGTCATTTTGATATGGAAGCATCCTCAAGTAGTGTAGATTCAAGTTTGTTAAAATGATGCCCCCGGAGATAGGGTTGGGCCACAATGGGGGATCGAAAATTTTACATAAAAGGAACATATAGGAAAATATCTTCTCATCAGGAACTGAAAATCATGTTTAGTCATTATGATATGGAAGCATCCTCAGGTAGTGTAGATTCATGTTTGTACAAATGATGACCTCTGGGGTAGGATGGGGCCACAATGAGGGATCAAAGTTTTACAAAGGAATACACAGCAACATCCAGTTTGTGTCATAATTTTTTAGGAATATCTGGGAATTTTAAAAAAAAAATCTTCTCAAATACAACAAAGCATTTGTTATATTGACTTGGAAGCATAATAAAATTCAAGCCCCCCCCCCCCTCCCCGGTAATCTTTTCAATACTGAACTGATTTGTGTTTTTGCCTAGCCAATGTGCTCGGTGAGCGATGTGGCCCATGGGCCTCTTGTTTAAATGATACCACCAAATTTTCACTAATTCTTGAGTATCTCCCCTTAAAAGAGGGTGTGACCCTTCATTTGAACACTTTTGAATCCCCTTTACCCAAAGATGCTTTGTGGCAAGGTTGGTTGAAATTGGCCCAGTGGTTCTTGTGAAGAAGACAAAAATATGAAAAGTTTACAAACGAACAGATGGATGACAGACAAAATGTGATCAGAAAACCAGAAAAACTCAAGTGAGCTAAAAACTTATGTTCACAAGAACATGTACTTGGAAAGAGTTACAGTATTTGAAAAGCAGTTTTTTTTTCATGCATTGTTTTTAGAAGCTGAAAATGTATGACTTGTATCCATGTTGAAAAAACTGCACACTTCAGAAAACAGTATGATTAAAAATAGTTAAACAATGTGCTTTGAGAAGCAAAATAAGCTAAACTGGTATAGCTAATTCAACCATAGAGCTTAGTCAATTTTAAGATGCACAATCTTTTCAAATCTTAATCATTCTTAAAATATTTATATCATCATTTCTGATTCAAGGGAGAACTAGAGATATGACCAGAATTATATCTGTTGACTAATAAACATGTACATGTATATTGTGTTTTTTAAGTCATTTGTTTGTTTGTTGTTAAATGTCCCTCTCGGGAATTTTTCACTCATATGGAGACACCACCACTTAAAAATAATGAAGACGTACAAGTCGGATTTGAGGTTAACATTCATTTTAGGAGTTTTCAACAATTAAGACGTAAAGAGATAACTCCTTCCCCTCGCCCCTTCCCCTTCCCAGACCCCTGTTTGTTCATGTATGCAAACTAATACTTTGTTTTGACATAAAAAAATGTGAATATATTCAAATAGTTTAATGGTCCATCTCTTTGAATGGTTTTCATTCCTAATTCTAGGAGGGTACATGGGTTGACCCAAATTCATGAATGAAATGTCAAGCAATCTTATCATTGATGCACTTTTATTTAATTTGATGTAGTCATATTGTGAACATTTCCAGTTCATTAAGAGAGTGGGGATGACCTCCAGGGGTTCATAACCTTAAACCATTAAATGTACATAACATAATAACACAAGAAACAAAATTATGTATAGTCAAATGGAAAAGTTTTCTACTATTTTAGAGTCACTTGATCATTTGTCATTTCAGGGACAGGGAGCGGCTAGGGAGATTGCCCCCCCCCCCTGAAATTTGCAGAGTTATTTAAATAGGACTATATACTGATTTACAGAAGCAAATAAATAATAACTTTGGACGCCCTCCCCCTTATAAAAACGGACCCCACCATCATTGTTTTTATTTTGTTTGTTTGTTTTTGTTTTGGGTTTTTTTTTTGTTTTTTTTTGTTTGTTTTTTGGACCCCCCTCCCCCCCCCCCCCTGGAAAAAATTCTTGGATGTGTGCATGTAACTGAATGTAATGTCGACAACGGAGATAACTCTTCAGAATGTGAAATTCGTCTATTGTGGCATCGATGATCTTTGATCCTTTCTAAACTTTAACCTAACCATTTGCATTTCGGTTTATTTTACCCCAACTTATACTTAAACTTGTACTTACCGACTGTCATGGGTACTGTCAACTTCATGAAATATAATCCAATTAAAACACAAAATGAATTAAATCCTACTGATATACATGTAATGATGTGCACCACGTGCAATCTAAAAATGATAATGGTAAAACTATAGTACTACTACTAATAGGGTGACGCAAGCCCAATATGATGAAGAAATTTTCAAAAAGGTGTTCACATACATGTACAGTACAAGAACAAACGATGCTTTAGCATAACTTTGCCATCTAGGCCTATTTCCAAAAACAGGCAAATTGTGTGTTGGGGGGGGGGTGACAAAATTGATTGGGTATGGCTTTTCAAGAAGGTTTTTGCCTAATCAAATACTAAAAAAAAGTTTGCACATTTTGATAAATTCATTAAAAACGTTTTGTACTAAAAAAAAAAGGTATTATTTGTTATTGAGAAAATAAATATAAAAAATTCAATTGTGGGCCAAAAATTTATAACCCCCCCCCCCTCCTTTTATCAAAACCTATTTTACATCATTAATTAAATTCTGTTATTTCAGACTGGTAATGAATTAAGTAAAGGAAATACCTATAAGAGGCTCATAGGTCTCATGGTCACCTGAGCATTTTATGCTCGATTTGACGAATACATGTACTGTGTAAATTATAGAATTATTTTGACTTTTTCCTTGGTAACCCCAATATGAAGGAGTGTGCATTTAGAGGCAAACACCTCAGTGCGGGTATTACTGTCTCATGACAGCATCTAGTTGTTAAGTGTTCGCATCTGTCTGTCTCGAAAGACAATGGAGTGTCTATGCCAACTGTCAGTCTGGTGTACTGGAGCAGCGCCGCCTGTGACTATAAAGTTCGATTTGGAAACGATGGTTTATGACATTTGCTGCAGTTGTCGGAGGACACGATAGGACTCGACTTGGTACATTATCGCGGACGGGTTCTCTTATCCTCTTTCTGTTCCTCGCTTTTTTTCTCAATTAGTTGGATGCCAACCGTAATTAAAGAGTTCCAAGTTCTGCAATCTAATACGATTCGCTATAGCTCTTCTGGGCACATTTTACAGGCCTTCAAGTAGCATTTGCAGACGTCTTTATATTTGAGATTGGGTCAACCTGTGGGCCATGCCAGCGCTCCCTGTTGGGAGTTCCCAATAGAGAAAATCTTTTTGAATGCGTCTACCATCTATGCGACAGACGTGGCCTAACCAACGCAACCTTCTCTGTATTAGAATGGGAAACACGGTAGGCATATCCGCTTAAGAGAGAGCATTATGGTTGGTGATGTGGTCTTTTCAGGTAATACCAAGGAGTCGTCTTAGACAGCGCATATGGAAGGCATATAGCCTGCGCTCTTGACAGGAGTACAGTGTCCTGGATTTACATCCATAGAGGAGGGTACTCAGGACATGGGCTTTGTACACATTTATCTTTGTATTGTTTGTCAGCATAGTGCTGTCCCAAACTCTGTTTTTAAGTCTTGCCAGCAGAGTTGCTTCCTATTTATTTCAACATCAAGGGATAGCTTGCTCGAGATGTTGAGCTGAGGTAGGGTTAAAATTCAACGACCTCCAGTGTGTGGGTACAGATGGTGATTTGGGAAATGGTTGCTAGCATTCTGACCCATGGTGTTTGTCTTTCTAAGGCTTATGGTGAACCCAAACTAGGAACAAGGGTCGGCAAAGCGGGTGATAAGCCGCTGCAGTGCTTCCTCGGTGTGGGCAGATAGGGATGCTTCGTCTACAAACAGCATTTCCCAGATGAGGACTCTGCATACCTTTGTTTTTGCTCTGAGTCGGGCCAGATCGAAGAGAATCCCGTCACTCTTCTTGATTGGGAAGGTCTCTGAGCATGATTCATCATATTGGACAGTGCCAGTCATGTCGTTGTGAAAGCTAGGACATGATCATTCCCAAAAGCTTTGGAGGAAACCTGATCCTGTGTAAGAGGATGAAAAGACGGCTTCTGCTGACCAGGTCGAATGCTTTGGTCATGGCAATAAAAGCAAGATACAAGGGTCGTCTTCTCTGTTCCTGAATCTTTCCTGTAGTTGTTTTAGGGAGAACACCATGTCGATTGTCGACCTTGCAGTTCTGAATCCACAATGTGACTCCGGATACACTCAGTTCACAGATTAACGTATATTGCACGTTTGTATAGTATGCACACTGAGACTAATAAACACTAATACATGCACGTACCTCATACAAATTTTATTTGAAATTCACTTTGTCGCATTTTTTTCATTAGTTGGAACATTAATCTGCTTTCAGATGACCATCAAAATTCAAAATTATTACCGGTACTACGATCATCTGCTAAAATTTCTTATCTTTAGGCATATAGAATCGCTTTTGAATGTAGTGGTGGGGATAAGGGGATAGTGGTGGTGATAAGGGGAAACTAGAAAAGTAAATGACAATTAACCTGAAATTTCTTTGACAAACTAAACAGAGAGAAGAAAAATAGCCAAACTCGAAAATCCTATACCGGGGTGGGGGGTGGAGAGGCGGGGGGTGGGGTGGGGGGGCTTAAATCCAACTTTTATCAACAAAAAAAAATTCAATGTATCAATATGGTAGGATTTGACTATATTGTAACAAAAAGTGGGGTGGGGGCGCTAGCGGCCTTTCAATGAAGCCTTCCTCCGATACTATTACTCCTACAAGTAAGAGCCTCTGTTAACGTCACTACGCTCCTCACATACCTCGGACTCTTACATCCGAAGGCCATTTTCTAACGAGCTCGTTCCGCCTCAGATTTTGGGCGGAACATATGCGTGAAATAAACTGTACACAAGTAATTCTCAGGTACCTACGTGGGTTTAACAGTAACAAGAAATCTTAAAATCCACTTTTTTCAGTATGCATTATTGTTCATTAATCAAAATCGTCATTATTTCAATTTGTCACCAGAATTACTTTCGATTTGACTTCATGTTAGTTTTGCGGATTGCTAGTCAGAAAACGAAAATTTCAGTTATTTCATAGTGGAAAACTAGTTTCGTTTCATCAGATTTTCTGCATTCCATTCCCGAATTTCAAAAAGACGACTTGTTTTAATTTCTGCTTCGATTTTAAAAATAATGGATTTATCGCTAATACAAGCGATTAACATTGTTTTATGTGTAAGTTTTATCGCAAATAATAAATATTTTATTGTTTCGTATCACTCGTTAATGTTTAAAGCCTGAATTTTCAATTAAACAATTTATTTCAACTCGGGGTTTCAGCAGCGATAAGAACTACGCACGCTAACTCTCGATTCCCGCCTACATTTTACACTCATTTAATTCAATAATAATGGCGAGTTGGCCATAAAATCTTTGTTGAATGCAAAAAAGAGTTCAATGGTAATTGATTTATAATTTTAACACCAGTGTTAAACAGTTAATTCTCCTAATTAAAGCTATTTTTATAAGGGGGTAGGCGATTTTTTTCCCCATTGAAATTGTGCTTGAAACTATCAGCATATTTTAAAATATTCTCGGATGTGGATAAATGTTCCTTAAATCTTTCCTTATGTTTTCCGCATTTAAAATAAAACATTTGTAATTGATAAAATACAACGTTTAAGTTGTAAACCCCTTCAAAATTGGTGAAAAAAAAATGAACAATTTTGTCGTTTTTTGTCTGTAAACATATCCCCCCCCCCCCCGCCCTCTCGTGAAACACAAAAATCTTTGGTATGAATTTGTGAAATAACAATCCATATTCCCAGTAAAAAGGAATTTTTGTTTCACGGTTGGAAAGATGTTTTAAAAATATTTTTCGTTGACTTCCATAGTGAAAAACACAAGTTTTACCAAAATTATAGAGTTATCTCTCTTTCTTTCACAAATAGGTAAAGTTTTATGAAAATTCATATAAATATCTATATAAATATGAAAAATCATTTAAATGTATTAACTTTTGAAAATTTACTTGGAGGTAGCTATAGGCGGGAGAACAATACTATCGTTCGCAGTTCTTTTTACAATGGATGCTAGAGGTTACGCGGCGCCAAGTCAAAAGTATCTCGCCGTGAACCTCTAGCATGCTGGAGTACCGATACGTGCCTGAATAAATATATTTAATCATTTTCATTGCATTTCATTGACAATCTTACATGTTAGGGCAACTGACTGCTGACCATATGAACTTACATGTAACATGTACTGACAACGGACATATTGCTTACAAATTTCAATTTCTCAAAGCATGCTTTCGACCCTCAAGGTAGCTCAGTCGGTTGATTGTGTGTTGTTTTACGTCCCGTTCGAGAATTTTTCACTCATATGGAGACGTCACCATATACCGGTGAAGGGCTTCAAATTTAGACCTTTACTCGGCACTCAGGGTCATTGAGCAGTGAGGGTTCTTTATCGTGCCAACGCCTACCATGACATGGGGTCTCGGTTTTTAAGGTCTCATCCGATAGACCCGTAACTTTCACTCCAAATAGCGTTTTGCGAAGGAATAGTTGTTACCTATTTTTATCGACTTAGGTAAGTTTCGGCCGTGATTCGAACACATGACCTTCCGATCACGGAGCGAGCGATCTACAGACTGAGCTACCGTGACGGTTAACTTTAATTCTTTATAAAGTGCTGATATAATCTACAGAGCCCCAACCTTACACCAGAAGCCCTGACCCAGGAGCCATGATTATCACATTTTGAAAGACACGCCCTTGCTCATTATGATCATTCACTTAGTTTGTTTGCTAAATAAGGGGGAGAGAAGACGCTTTTGAAAGAGCATGCATGTACATGCATTTTCACTGTATGATCAATAGAGCCCAACCCTAACATCAGAACCCCTGACCAGTGCCATGAATTTCATAATTTTAGTAGAAGACTCGCTGCTTATTACAATAAAAAAAATTGAAATTTGAAATTTTACCCTGGAGGCCAAATGGAGCCTCAAGAATGGCGTTTTTCTACAAAACCCTAGTTTCAAAGACCTGGTTCTCTGAGCTCTTGATACATTTTTCACACAAGCCCATTCAAATTTTGGAAAATGATTTGAAGAGCCCTGTAGATGCGCAATAAGGTTTAAGAATTTTGATCTTCATCCGGGTTTTCCCCCCAAAAAATCGACGTTTTTTTTGTTTTACAAAACCTAGTTCCGTGAAGTCCTCTTACATTTTTTGCAGTTACCAACTCATCTTTTGTAATATATTTAGTTTCAGCATTTTCATTTTCAGTTATAGACATTAAGCGTTCTCGTTGACTTGCAAAAGGAAAAGAAACGGTTTTAATTACACATTTACGGGTCCAGATTTTTTACTCCCTCGAAGAAAGCAACTTTTCATGAGATAAATAAGAAGATATGAAAGACCAACTTTTTCAGCAAAAGCAATATCGAAATATTTACCATTTTTGACTGAATTCGCTTTCAATAAAAAAAGGGGGCATCTAGAGCCCCAATATAAGGAGTCAGCCCCTTTTCATTTGTGTCAAAATATTAAAATCTTATACAAATTACATATTTTATTTTACATGCCTTAACAAAATACTTTAAAAGACGTCTTTTTCATTCTTTAAATCAATTAATTTTTAACCCTCACTTGGCGCCATTTTGAAATAAAAAAAAAACGTAATCGGGGAATAAAACTCGATGTGCACATTTTTAATGCTTTTATTCTTCAAATACAGTGTTTTTCAGGTCCAGCTATAATAGTCTCTGAGCCTTTATCTGAAAACCAAAGTCCCTAAAATTTAAATGAACAAGGAATAACTCGTAAATGGAAGGGAATTTCTTAAATATTGAAATTGTTTTGTAGAGTCTAAAAACCCTGAAAATTTAAGGAAATCCAGAAATAAGCAAGTTATGAAGCTTTAAAGTTAGCTTCTAGGGGAAGAAAGGTTAACAGGAATAAGCTTAACCAGCACAATCAGTACAAGGTCTTGCTTGTTACAGAAGACCTTATTTACAACGGAGACAGGAGTGGGTAGGGTAGGGTTCGACTATTACATGTATTGAATATGTATACATTTTTATTTCTTCAAGTGAAAGGATAATCATGTAAAAAAAAAAATGAAATAATAAGGGATCGATGACCCAGAGATGCTTGTTATATTTGCCAAAATCTAAAAAAAAAAATACATTAATGCTCAGTGATATATTGTGATCTGTGGTGAAATTTTTCACTGTAAGCGGTGCCTGTAAAGGTAGCTTATATGAATAAAGCATAAAAATGGAGTTTCCTCCATTTTATGTCATTTTTAAAATTCAGTTGTCACTCTTTAATTTTTGAGCATTTCCAACGTTTTATGATTGTTTTCGATAGATTGAATATTTGGATTGAATATATTGCGTCATTCTACAACACATAATAGATAAATTAGTTTTAATTTTATTTGTTTTCTTATGTTTCAGAGGTCCGTGTTTTTATCCTGTTCATTTGTATTGTTTACAAATTTTATGAGACTGATCACTGTTCAAGGTTTTCACCTTTCTTCATTAATTTCCTTCTTCCTTGCTAGCTTCTACGGTCTTATCGACTACTGTTAAGTGTTAAACAAGCTTCAGTCTGTTAAAATATCCTCATCTGATAATGTATATATAGTTATTCATTTTACCGCATTCCAGATTATTGTCATGTAGGTTATTCCTCTTAAGCTTTAAATGATCCAAAATGCACTATGGATTTAGCCCAATTATTGTAAAGGTTTTGTTGTATTGTTCGAACAAAATTTCCTTCCCCTTAAACCATCTTATTATTTCTTAACAATCACCCAAAAACAGAGCTTTTGATTTCAAACTTGCAAGATCTACCTTCCTTAAACTAGCTGATTTATTTTCGTTGTATATGGTGGCATATTTATCTGCTCACTATATGCAAGATATTATGTCAACATGCGAGAAAAGTATGTCAACATGTAAGATAATTATGTTTACATGCAAGATAATTATGTTGACATGCAAGTTGCAAATATCTTTTAGACAATTTGATTTTAATATGGGTAATTTTACTTTCTAACGTCAGTATCGGACATCATACATCCATGATGCAACATATTTGTCTGGACATGCGACTTATTTATGTCAACATGCGACTATAATTATGTTGACATAACGACTTATTATCGTGCATGTTCACATAAATAAGTCGCATATCAACATAATTATTTCCCATGTTGGCATAAATATCTTGATGTTAACAAAATTAACTTGCATGTTCACAATATAAGTCACATAAATATGTTGTATGTCGACTTAATTAATTCGCATGTCGACATGATCAAGTCACATTGTAGCAACCGCTAATGATAAAACGCCGCTGAATGATAGGAATATCATTAAGCGTTGCAATTGGTACGCTTATTGTCATAAATTATTGCTTTAATAGTTGTAATTCTCAACCGCTAATGCTAAACGGCCGCTTAATGAAAAAATTATCTTGAGCAGTAGAGAATTTCAACTATTAATGCAATAATTTATTACATTATGCGTTGCAGCGCTTAATGATATTTCAATCATTAAGCGGCGTTTTATCATTAGCGGTTGCTACATCGCACGTCGACATAATTATCTCGCATGTTGACATAAGTCTACATTATTAAATCTCATGTGAACATAATTATGTCGCAATCTTGCATGATTGACGGGAGGGCGGGGGCAGAAATATCTTCCATGCCACGGACTTATATAATACATATTATCAAAAGATGAAATATTTCCCCTTGGTAAACTATCACAAAAAAATTCATTATCACAGGTAAACAGATTGTAATATGTCCTTGTCTGAAAAGAATATAACAAATATTTATTTCTAACCCGAAGAAATAGGGAAATGTTATTTTTTTGTTTACTTTTCAAATAAACACAAGTTTGACAATCATGCAAGGCTCATACCGGAAATTTTTGATGATTATGCACTGACATTCCCATGTCATTGTTTGCACTATAATGTTTGCATGCTAAGGCCAATTGCTGGTTTTATGTCAAAACAAAAATAAGAAAAAGAAAGAAAGAAAAGAATCAGAGAGAAATTTTTTTATAAGAACTTAGAAATACACATGTAATATATATTGTTTTCATAAATAATCTAAAATGTTTTAAACCTGTTTCATATACTGTAATCACATTCATTTCACATATTTTAATAGGTCTTAAATAGTAGGGAATCTTCAAAACGTAAAACAAATATTCACAAAACAGTACTATACATGTATATCCATTGATTGTTAGTTTCTACCTTACAAAAGAAAAAACGAATAGGTTTCATCAGTGCTGACTGACGTTTTTTGTGCTAGTTGTTGGACAATTATTTCGTTTACTCGATCATAACAATGAGCACACAGCGGGTGGGACCGGTCGAAAGGGAATGCTTTCTCCTCCATGGCACCTGATCCCACCTCTGATGTTTTTAGAGGTTCTTGTTTGCTCTGCTTCCGATTTTTATTGTGAGCTTGATTACTGTTTGTTATCTCCTTATTTCATTGTAACGGTTTTGTTGAATTCGTCATAACGAATTAATAAATTTGTTATAACAGTTAAGATTAAATTCGTTAAAATGAATTCCAAATTCGTTATAACGAATTCCAAAATTTATTGTAACGAGTTAAATTCGTATATTGAAATAGTTATGTCCCTTGACTACTATCTTTATGCGAAACCCTTATAATTCTCACATTTGCTTTTGTTTGCAAAAAAAATGTCAGAAAATTTGGTACCAAAAGAAAGGCAATATCACAAGAAATACAAAAGAGTCATGTGAAATATGAAAGTACTAACACTAACCGTTCAGAAGTTGCCAAGGTTAAAGATTTTTAAAGATAGTTTCAATCTCTAAGGTCAAGATCAGGGGGTCAGAAATGTTGGTACCAGAAAGGTACCAAAAGGAAAAAAAAGAAAAGAAGTGAAATATGAAAACCTTTGCACTAATCGTTCAGAAATTATGGACAATGTTAAGGTTTTTCAAAAGTAGTTCAAACTCCAAGGTCAACTTGCACAATGAAAGCAAGATTTTTTATTCGATTAAATTTAATATACATTCATTTAATAAATTTTCTCATATTTGGAAAGAATGCCTTCATTTACAGGGGCGAATCCAGCAATTCTGAGGAGGATCCAGGGTGGTGGCCCTTCACCCTCCCTCTCCCCACCCACACTAAAACATAGATTCACACACACGTGGAGAGAAAAATCATCGTGTCATGATAAATCATATCTTTGTTAAACGTACCCTCCAGTCCGCATAAAAAACAAACACAGTCCAAAAACTACGGTAGCCTTAAAATTGAATGGATTTGCAATATTTCAAAGAAGAGAAAAATTGTTGAGAATCTGATAATCTCGTGTTTGTTTTTATGCCCCCGTATCGAAGATTCGGGGGTATATAGTTTTTGCCCTGTCCGTCCGTCTGTCTGTTTGTCCGCAAAAACTTTAACATTGCTTATAACTTTTGATTGGTTAAAGCTATGACCTCGGAGTTTGACCCAGTTTTACAAAATTTTCCCCAACTTTAACTTTGGCCATAACTTTTGAAAGATAGGTGCCAGGGCTTTCATACTTCACATGTATATTCCTTATGACAAGACCTTCCTTTGGATACCAACAACTTTTACCCTTTGACCTTGGAGTTTGACCTTCTTTTGAAAAACTTTTTAACATTGGCTATAACTTTTGAACGGTTGGTGCTTGGGCTTTCATAGACCACATGTGTAATCCTTGTGACAAGACCTTCCTTTGGATACCAACAACGTTGACCCTTTGACCTTGACCTTCGAGTTTGAACTACTTTTGAAAAAACATTAACATTGGCCATATCTTTTGAACGGTTGGTGCTAGGGCTTTCATTATTCACTTATGTAATTCTTGTAACAAGACCTTCCTTTGGATACCAACAACTTTGACCCTTTGACTTTGACCTTGGAGTTTGACCTACTTTTGGAAAACTTTAACATTGGCTATAACTTTTCAACGGTTGATGCTAGGGCTTTTCATAGTTCACATGTATAATCCTTGTGACAAGACCTTCCTTTGGATACCAACAACTTTGACCCTTTGACCTTGGAGTTTGACCTACTTTTGGAAAACTTTAACCTTGGCCGTAACTTTTGAACAGTTGGTGCTAGGGCTTTTATTCTTCACATGTGTAATCCTTGTGACAAGCCCTTCCTTTAGATACCAACAATTATAGCCCATTGACCTTCACCTTGGAGATTGACACTTTTTTGGAAAACTTTAACCTTGGCTATTTCTTTTGTACAGTTGGTTCTAGGGCTTTCATACTTCACATACGCAATCCTTGTGACAAGACCTTATTTAGGATACCAACAACTTAGACCCTTTGACCATGACTTTTGAGTTTGATCTACTTTTGAAAAACTTTAACCTTGGTCATATCTTTTAAACGGTTGGTGCTAGGGCTTTCATATTTCACATGTGTATTTCTTGTGAGAAGGCATTTCCTTGGGCACCATTAATTTTGACCTTGACCTTGATGTTTGACCTACTTTTGAAAATCTTTAACCTATTCCATATCTTTTCAATGGTTGCTGCTAAGGCTTTCATATTTTACAGGTATATTCCTCGGTACAAGACCTTACTTTGGGTACCATCTTATTTGATTTGCATTTGAGAAAGTTTAACCTTTGCCATAAGTTGCCATAAGGGGACATCAGTGTTTCACAAACACATCTTGTTTTAACTAGTTTTTCCTGAAAATCTACCCGCCTTGGAATAAATATCAAACAAAGAATTAATTTACTATGACCTTAAGCATACTGTCGTCAATGACGTATTTGATTTAAGATGATTAAAAATGATATATAGCCGAAGATCGCTGGAATTTGATAGCAAATTGAACCTCACATGTTACTTATCATGCATTGAAATAAGTAGAATAATTTCTCCCATCTACTCATAAACGCTAAAAGGGAGGGATAGTCAAGGTAAATTGAAGAAAGGAAATATGTGAGACTATCTATAGCAAGTGGAGTATGAACAGACTGTTGCTGATCGAGCTGCTTTAATCCTTCTCTCACTCATCTCTTTCTCCTCTCTTGGCAAAAATTAAAGGGGAGGGGGTCCAAACCCGTTCCAACCCCGAAACCCCCTCTTGATCCGCAAATGATTTTGCTGTAAAACAATATTCATGTATATGTAATATGCAATGAATTGACTGGTGTCTATAAATATACATAAATAATTCACATATTTAAAAAAATATAAAGTACCATCTATTCAGTAAAACAAATTATGAAGAGTATGTTAAATCTTAACAAAACAAACAAACAAAAATGAATAAAGTTAAGGTACAATGAAGCGTGTTGAAGCTTGGGAAATGCTACTTTGCTGTGCGGAGTGACAGTGACGTAAATAACGTTTCTGATATATGCTTCTCGCTGAAGTTCCGCCCTACAATCAAAGATGCAGGTTAGAATTAATGAAAATGATTTTTTTTTTTAAATCTCAACAAAGACCAAGTTCTCGTTTTGGTATCAATGACTGACTCTTCTAACCTCTTTCTGTACGAAGTTATCAGACCCAAGCACCGTCGTATCTACAACGTTAGATGCAGAACATTGCAGATAATCATTGAAAAAGTTGTATAAATTTCAATTGATACAATTGATTTAAGTGATAAATCAACCATACACATTGGGAGGATTCGAAGGATTTGGGAGGTCCTTTTTGGCAGATGCATACTGATTGTTGCTGTCAACTGGATCTGCATAGGCTACATTTTCAGATCCACTTTCCTCGGTGTTTTGGCATCTGTGGAATCCGATAAATAGACGCTGAATAAGTCGTAAGCGTTAATCTGCTTTGAATGATATATCCTTATAAAGAATATTGTATGAACTCAATTTAAATTTAATTTACTTATGTAAACAGCGAATAAAAAACAAGTATTTAAAAAAATATATCTTGAACAATCAATTTATTTAAACTAAAACGAATATGCAACATGAGGCCCATGGGCCACAACGCTCACCTGAGTCAATATGTCCCTGCTGTTCTCCATCTGCACTTTTTCTATTATATTCCTGTTGTTACCCCCACCCTACCCCCAGGCGTCATGATTTGAACAAACTTTAATCTACGATATCTCTCTGAGGATGCTTTCATTTTCGTATAACTGATCGTGGCTTTGCTAATCTTGAGAAGAAAATTTTTGAAGATGTGCCCCGACCTACCCCTGGGGGTCATGAATTGAACAAACATTAATTTACACAACCTGAGGACGCTCCCATATCAATATGACTAACCATGGCTTTGCTGTTCTTGAGAAGAAAATTTTTGAAGATTATTTCTTATGTATCCCTATGTAAAACTTCAATCCCCGATTGTGGCCCATCCCAACCCCTGGGGGGTCTGATTTGAACAACTTAAATGTACACTACCTGAAAATACTTTCCTATCAATATGAATAATTACTTTGCTGTTCTTGAGAAGATTTTTGGAAAAATTTTTCCTAAATATTACTAGATGTAAAAATTTGAGGTTCCATTGTGGCCCTGCTCTACCCATGGGAATAATGTTTGAATGAATTTGAATGTAAAGTACCTGAGGATGCTTTTCTGTCAATATGACTAATCATGACTCTGTTGTTCTTGCAAAGAAGATTTTTAAAGATTATTTCTCATATATTCCTATGTAAAACTTTTATAACCCATTGTGGCCCCAACAAATCCCAAGCGTGATATATTGAACAAACTTGAATGTGCACTACCTGAGCATTCTTCCTTAAAAGTTTGACTACTCAAAGCTTTGCTGTTCTTCAGAAGATTTTTGAAGATTTGATTTATATATTACTATGTAAAACTTTGATCCTTCATTGTGGCCCAACCCTACCCCCAGGCGTCATGATTTGAACAAACTTTAATCTACGATATCTCTCTGAGGATGCTTTCATTTTCGTATAACTGATCGTGGCTTTGCTAATCTTGAGAAGAAAATTTTTGAAGATGTGCCCCGACCTACCCCTGGGGGTCATGAATTGAACAAACATTAATTTACACAACCTGAGGACGCTCCCATATCAATATGACTAACCATGGCTTTGCTGTTCTTGAGAAGAAAATTTTTGAAGATTATTTCTTATGTATCCCTATGTAAAACTTCAATCCCCGATTGTGGCCCATCCCAACCCCTGGGGGGTCTGATTTGAACAACTTAAATGTACACTACCTGAAAATACTTTCCTATCAATATGAATAATTACTTTGCTGTTCTTGAGAAGATTTTTGGAAAAATTTTTCCTAAATATTACTAGATGTAAAAATTTGAGGTTCCATTGTGGCCCTGCTCTACCCATGGGAATAATGTTTGAATGAATTTGAATGTAAAGTACCTGAGGATGCTTTTCTGTCAATATGACTAATCATGACTCTGTTGTTCTTGCAAAGAAGATTTTTAAAGATTATTTCTCATATATTCCTATGTAAAACTTTTATAACCCATTGTGGCCCCAACAAATCCCAAGCGTGATATATTGAACAAACTTGAATGTGCACTACCTGAGCATTCTTCCTTAAAAGTTTGACTACTCAAAGCTTTGCTGTTCTTCAGAAGATTTTTGAAGATTTGATTTATATATTACTATGTAAAACTTTGATCCTTCATTGTGGCCCAACCCTACCCCCAGGCGTCATGATTTGAACAAACTTTAATCTACGATATCTCTCTGAGGATGCTTTCATTTTCGTATAACTGATCGTGGCTTTGCTAATCTTGAGAAGAAAATTTTTGAAGATGTGCCCCGACCTACCCCTGGGGGTCATGAATTGAACAAACATTAATTTACACAACCTGAGGACGCTCCCATATCAATATGACTAACCATGGCTTTGCTGTTCTTGAGAAGAAAATTTTTGAAGATTATTTCTTATGTATCCCTATGTAAAACTTCAATCCCCGATTGTGGCCCATCCCAACCCCTGGGGGGTCTGATTTGAACAACTTAAATGTACACTACCTGAAAATACTTTCCTATCAATATGAATAATTACTTTGCTGTTCTTGAGAAGATTTTTGGAAAAATTTTTCCTAAATATTACTAGATGTAAAAATTTGAGGTTCCATTGTGGCCCTGCTCTACCCATGGGAATAATGTTTGAATGAATTTGAATGTAAAGTACCTGAGGATGCTTTTCTGTCAATATGACTAATCATGACTCTGTTGTTCTTGCAAAGAAGATTTTTAAAGATTATTTCTCATATATTCCTATGTAAAACTTTTATAACCCATTGTGGCCCCAACAAATCCCAAGCGTGATATATTGAACAAACTTGAATGTGCACTACCTGAGCATTCTTCCTTAAAAGTTTGACTACTCATAGCTTTGCTGTTCTTCAGAAGATTTTTGAAGATTTGATTTATATATTACTATGTAAAACTTTGATCCTTCATTGTGGCCCAACCCTACCCCGGGGTCATGATTTGAATAAACTTGAATCTTCGTTATGTAATGAAGGTTTCACATAAGATGTAATTTTTTGGCCAAGTGGTTCTTGAGAAGATTTTTAAAAGAGGCCACCGAATTTTCACTACTTCTTAATTATCTCCTCTTGAAAGAGGGCGTGGCCCTTAATTTGAACAAACTTGAAATACCTTTGCACGCATCAAATTGCTTTTAACGTCTTTTGGGCGAATATCTACATCATACCGTCATGTTGAGTATTCCGCTGTCCAAAGGTACAGGTAACATCAAGATTTTAATCACTTATGCAGGTTAGTAAAGCAATGTTCAAAATGTTAAAAAACGAATAGCAATAATGCTCAGAAGTCCGATCAAATGATACAAATTTAGAGCAAAGAATTAATAATTTTTCTGATATGACCCCTTAGAAGGTATAAAATAATTTCTGTTTTTTTTTTTAATTTTTGCGGTTGCATTAACATTTATTTACAGGATATCACTACCAGATGTGAAGGATGTGGTAGAACACTGCCAACTTTTAGATGCTTCAGATTCAATGACAAGTTGATCTTGTTCATGCATTAGAATTAAAACCAATCTCTACTCAGTGTCTTTAAGGTATGTCACTCGTCAGCCTTTTAGAAAATTTCAGTCAGAACCTCTTACTTAAAAACTATTTATAACAATTCAATCTTTATAACATACTTAAATTAAACAATGTAAAATGTTTAGCATTCAATTAAAAAACTGCTCAAAAATTCACAAAGAAGCAAGATTTATAAGGGACTATTTCTTGTGGCGGAAGGATATTTAGCAGAAAATTCTGCAAATCTACACATTTATTAAATTTAATATCTTGGAACTTTAGCCTCATATACTTTTACTCAGAGAATATTTTCCTTTATGATATGCCTGGAATATTAAATATAGGTCTCAATTTATATTTTTATAACAAAATTTACACCTTCGCTCAACAAACATTGCCAAGAAATGAAGATATATCAAGAAAGTCGAGATAAAATTTACACAGTTTTTTGCCTGAAAATCGCATATTTTGACCAATATTTCAAAATTTACATCACCTACCCCAACTTTTTCTTTCATTATTTTAAACTACTCGATACTTTTGACCGATCAGCACTTAAGTCGTAAAAAGTTTGATACAAGAAAATATTCTATTGCCTATTTAGATTTTTAATACCCCAAATATGAGACTTTTTTAGTGCAAAAAGGTCACACAATAATTTACGTGCATTTATTTGCATGATTTGTTCAATGATAAATATTATTCAAACTATTTTACGTAAAATAAGATTACGTTTATTGCCATGGTTACATCTGATAAAATATGATAACGGTTAAAGTGATTAACCAAAGAGTTACAATTTAAGTGCAAAAAGGTCAACTTAATTTTACCGTAGCTCAGTTAGATGCACACTGACCCCCCATTTTCTCTGCTATTTTGAGTCATACTATATGAGTACTTATCCAAAATATACTTCTCAAAAAATCCTTGATATAACAAATTTCACGAGTGACATACCTTAAGTAAGTATTTGTGAATTATTTTCAAATAACTTTTCTTTCATACATCAGTAAGCATATTTTTTACCAATATACAGTAAGCGTTTAAATAACATTATATCAGGAAAAAAAGTAGCCTGAAATTTAACCTAAATGACAGGTTAGGGAATTTATAGAATATGTTAATTAATATTTCAAGAAAATTTTGTGATCACAAGTTTTGCAGATTTGTCATACTTGTAAAAAATGGTCAACCGCAAAACATATCCATTATTGGTTCTTTGAACATTAGTAATACTAGTAAAGGCAAAAGCTTCTTAACATCATCTAATATTGTTAACAAAAATTGTTTATGAGATATGTTAGGAAAATGAGAGAAATTGGAACCTTAAATAGGTAACTATAATTTAAGGATTATTGGCAGAAATTTATTTTTAGCACAAATGATTGCGCACATCATGCAAATGTCCTATTATTATAAATATAAACGTACAATTTAGTAACGTCCTTGGGGTCTGAATATCCATCAAGATCGTAATCATTGGCCTGAGATTTGATGAGAGCACTGTTAAAGAATACAAGAATTGTTAATTTTCCATGATGTAAATTTAATGAGAACTCAATAAATAATTATTTTTTTCTTTAATTAAAAAACACAGCGCTACATATACACATACATGGTCGCTACCAACTAAGGTGAGGTATGTCATCTTTTTCACGCAATTTTTAATAATTTTACCCAATTTTGAGATCCCCCCCTCTGGAAACCAGACGGTAGAATTTTGTGTTTCTTACATATAATGTACAGTATAGTATTACTAATCACTTATGATAATTTGAGCAAAAGGTCTATTGTAGTATTTATATAATTTGCTTTGAAGTGCGAGATATTGGCACTTTGCCAAATAATCCTATAGTAAATGTACCTGACGTTCCCTAGACGGCAGATTTTCCCTAATTTGGCATGTACACTGAAGTCAGTGTAAGTTATATATAGTATAAAATTAAAGAGGTTCTCTGCTGTAGTTTTCACACACTAAAACCTCAGTCGGCTCCCTTAAAAGTTGCTCAGAGCTGTCTCATTTAGAACACTCTCTGTCGCTTGACCAAATAAATCTAATGCTTATTGTCCTATGAAACTAATGTAAATATTACATTATCCAGGGACATCTGCCTCTGAGATAATATCAAAAACATGTAAAACTCAAATAATTTAATACTTAGTGCTAATTGGATATTCAAAAATCCCATTCATTTGTTGCGCGTAATACATGTAATTGAATTAATGTATCAATAACTGAACTGTTGCAGGCATCAGTTGAATTTGCGTATTAATGATATCTATTTTCTAAAGTTTGCATGCATTTTTGGGGGTTATTTTTGCTCTCTTCAATTGAATTTTTTTATAATAAAATCAATGAATGCATGCAATAATTCAAAATTAAAGATACCATTTGAGAAGATATGTGTTTGAATTGCTGCTAAACCTCAGTTGGATTCATTATATTTTCAAATATTTTATGATAGTCTCACATATCAGTCAAGCTAGATTGTTTATTTATTTGTATTATATTTTACAGATTAAAGTGTAAATTTTACAGATTAATTATAAGACTAGCAGATTTAAGAATAACTTATACAAATTAAAGTGTAAAATTTAGATTTCAGTGTAAAATATACAGATTTCAGTGTAAATTTTTACAGATAATGTGTAAATGACAGCTTAAAGTGTAATTTTTACAGATTGAAGAGCAAAAAATTTAGATTAAAAATGTAAATTGTGCATTTAATAAGGCGTTTAATTTTACAAGATATTTCTACAGAACTATTTAGATGATTAAAAAAAGGGACAACCTTGAGGTTACATACTCCTACTGAAATAGTATGAGTGTGTTGCTGTCGTATTCTTCTTCCATCACGTCCATATACATGTATTCATGAACATATCGACTAACAGACGTGTGGGTGAGGACATTTTACAGTAACCCACGCAAGTTGTTTGTATATGAATTCTAATTTACGGATCAAGGTATCAATTTTGTTTGTAAAGGAACTATATCTTCCCTTAAAAATTAGTTTAATGGTAAATAACTTGTAAATTAAGAAATTGTTAAACAAATTTAATTCGTGTACATAATACAGCACTTCAGATTTCTTTTGCCATTGGGTAATCTTTGGTGTTAACACATAGTTCCGAAGATGAAGTCCCCTAGAAATCAACTTATCTAAGACAGTAAATACACGATTTCTGAATTTTCAACTTACCCAGATTTCACTTCACCATTGAAGTTTATAGAGTTGTTCTTGTGTCTTGAACGCCTAATGCACAAAAATGTTGTTGTCACTATAAAAATCATAGTGAAGAACATAAAAACAAGGGCGGCAAAAAACCAATAGTTCACGTCACAGACTGCTCTACCATCTATTTCGGAGCAAATTTCTGATATTTTACATTGGCTTTCTCCGCATGTTGGCTGGGACGCTTCTACATCTTCTTTATGTTTTTCTTTGATTATCAGCGATTTGTTTGAAGACATCTTTAGTGTGTCCCCATCGACTACATTTAAAGCAAAGCACGAATAAATTCCACTATCGTTGGAAACCATTTTTCTAAGAATAAGGGTTCTGTTGTCCTGAGTGAGCGAGTGTCTTTCGTCATTTAGAACGTCACTGGAATTAAATTTCCATTTGAAAGAAGGAAGTGGATTCCCATCAGAACTACATGTGAGATTTACATTCGCTCCGACAAATAAATCCAGATGTGGAGCCGAACTTATAATTGTAACGTTGGAAGGGCCATCTAAAATTGGTAATTTAATGAAATAAATTAAGTAAACGATGTTATACTTCCTATGATTAACTATTATAGGGACATCATGCATAAGTCAATTACTTATTTTAATTTTTTTTAAAAATATTACTTGAATGAGTAGTTACGATCACAGCATTTATAGTTCAATAAATAGCTGTAAATCTGTAGTATTTACAAACAAATATTTGAAAGCTTTAAAATATTCCGATGCAAACATTTTATTATGATAAAGTCTTGATCTACTTGTACAAATACTTACAATAAACATCGATTGCTATTGTGTCATTATAAGGAGCAGGTTCCTGTGTTTGTCTGTTTTGTGAAGAACATCGGAAAATCGCACCATTGTCATCTCGGGAAACCGTGTAAGTTATACTGAGGTTTGCAACCGCTGTACAATTCTCCGTCTTCTCAACTACTTCACTTGACTTATTCAATATTATCGGTTGATTTGATAACTTATTTAGCTTCCATATTGCAACAAATCCACCAGGGTTTCCAACATTCGCAGAACATGACAAAAACACCTTGTCGTTTTCTTTCAGAGTGCCATTTTGGTAGAATTCGAAACTTGTCGGCTGCTCTGCCTCAACTGAGGAAGAAAGAATATGAGTGGATGCAATTATTTAAACATAAAGGTGTTTCCTCTTGGTTCTTTTCAGCATATTGGATTTCTTCTTATTTCATCATGTCTTTAGTCAGTCTGTATTCCAGACTTAATGTTTTTGTTTTCATTTTATAATATTGCGAGAAAGTTTTGAATAGTGAAATGTCTAATACAACTCACCTTTGATTAGAGAACTGTCATCAAAATTCTACCATTAAAGTATCTTATCCATAGCTATCGGAAATATTATATGACGTATTTTCTAGTGTTTCTATTAAAACACTATGACTAATTAGTCATGAAGCATTGTTTTCTACTGATTGATAAACTTATCAATAACCAAAAAAAAATACAATATTTGAAAACACATTTGAAATTCTATTAAATATCTCTAAACTTGACAAGGAGTTAAGTTTAACTCATAATGCTATTTTCATTATATTCTTACGAATATTTCAACTCAATAGTCTTAAGAATAAAAAGGTGACAACAACAACACACTTCTCTTACTTGTACAATTTGTGAACAGTTCTCTTTTCAAACTGTCTTGGCAGATTACTCCTTCATGGCGCCTGATCCTACCTTTGTTTTCGGGGGATCGGTGTTGGCTCTGCTTATTTGTGTTGTTTAAGGACAGATGTAACAAATATGTGTAACCGTTTAGATTTTAATATTTCTTTCAAAGTTTCACAATAATGTCCTACAAAGTGACAAAAGTTGTATATTTTTACAATTTCAAAATATTTGCCAGGTAAATTTCGTATTTTGCATCACTTACAACCGAAAAGTTTTTTGAAAGACATATACCAATCCTGGCATTTTTTTTGTTTGTAAGTCCATTTAAATGAACTTAAAAGCATGATCACTGGTCGTCATCTTTACATTTCAATTGTCCATACCATAGGGGCGAAATAACTTCAGCCTGTGCATCAAGAATTTTGCTTTTTCTCTGAGCAACTTTCTCGGTCCATCTTGGTTTGTAAATGGGCAATAACCACTACTGCCATGTCCTATCATTTGTGATCTTGACGTTTGAAATGTTCCCTAACTGGTTCATTGATTTTCCTGATCTTAGTGACCGAACGGTGATTATTAAATCAAAACGCGAGTCTCAAATTTACAGCCATACGCAGATTGTTCCAAAAGGCTTCCAAATCAATTCAAACATATAATAGAATCAATCTCCTAAAACCAAGGATATCGCAAAAGTCTCCTATTTTGAATATGACGTATCTATTTCCGGCTAGAAAAACAAAGGCGGTACAATCACCATGAATATTGTAAACTAGAGTGTTCCATGGAACGCATGTATCGCCTGCTTTGTAGCTTCATTAAAGATGTCTCTCAAGTTTCAAAAGTAATGGTATTTTTGCAGAGTAAGTCAAAGGTCAAGATCAAGTGGATTGTCAACTGGTATTTTTCATAATGTCTTATGACAAACAGTGCACATGCTAAATAGCACAGACTTGCCTTTTAAATGTCAAAATATGCTGTATATCGGCACTATGAACTATTTTGAAAAGTTGGTCAAGGTCAAGGGTCACGAGGTCTTTAACAATGCTAATTTACAAATGCCATAGTGCCAAGCAATATATGTACAAAATATCATATCCATTCCTCTTACAGTTCTCGAGATATAGGGTGTGACAGACGGACAGACAGACAGACGCTGGGTAAAGAGATCCCTACGTGTCGCTCTGCTCTGCAGAGTGGACGTTTTCGTCCGCGACCATGATCCTTTGAAACTACCAGCCCGCTAAGTAGATGATTTTGATGTTTTCGAGCCAGATTTTCAGTAATTTGTATTTATACATTGTAATTATGTCAGATTCTATAGACCACATACTTAGTCGAGATATATTAATCTACCATGATATGTCATTATGAAAATAGCTCTGATAGTGGAGGACTTCGTTGAATCTAAGTCCGATCTTTAAAGCTCTATATAAGTATACATTGTATTTGACTCTGTTCTCGAAAACAAAAGAAATGGTAACATCCTCGTGTTTTCGAAATGGTTTTATATAGTGTGCATTTCTATAGTCTTAAGAACAAATAATACAAACTTTTATCGAAAAACTTGATAATAACAACTTAAGTCATATTTATATAAGTAAAATAAATAAGTTTAACTGCATAGTTTTTTTTTTCATTCCACGTTTCACAATAATGGGATTTAAAGTGATAAAAAGTTGTATAGATTAATAAGAAAGGTTGCAGAAAGGTAGAATTTCGAACATCACAGAAAGTTTTCAATTTCTTAAATTTTTTGAAATTTATTATTTGCATCATTTACAACCAAAATAGATCCAACAAGATGTGTTTGTGAAACACTGATGCCCCCGTATGGCAGCTTATGGCGAAGGTTAAAGTTTCTAAAATGCAAGTCAAAATCCAGGCCAAAAGATAAAAAATGTTAAATTTGAAAGCCCTAGCAGCAACTGTTCAAAAGTTATGGCGAAGGTTAAAGTTTTTTAAAAGTAAGTAAAACGTCAAGGTCAAGGTCAAAGTTGTTGGCATCCAAAGGAAGGTCTTGTCACAAGGATTACATATGTGAAGTATGAAAGCCCTAGCACCAACCATTCAAAAGTTATGGCCAAGGTTAAATTTTTCAAAAGTAGGTCAACTTACTAGTTCAAGGTCAAAGGGTCAATGAGGTTGATATCCAGAGGAAGGTCTTGTCACAAGAAATACACATGTGAAGTTTGAAACCCCAAGCACCAATTATTCAAAAGTTATGGCCAAGGTTAAAGTTTTTCAAAAGTGGGTCAAACTCCAAGGTCAAGGTCAAAGTTGTTGGTATCCAAAAGGAAGGCCTTGTTACAAAGAATACACATGTGAAGTTTGAAACCCCAAGCACCATCTGTTCAGAAGGTATGGCTAAGGTTAAAGTCTCATAAAATTTTGCAAAAGTGGGTCAAACTCCAAGGTCAAGGTCAAAAGGTCAAATATGATGGTACCCAAAGAAAGATCTTGTCACAAGAAATACACATGTAAAATGTGAAATTCATAGCTCCAACCAATCAAAAGTTATGGGCAAGGTTAAAGTTGACAACAGACAGACAGACAAACAGATAAACAAACAGATAAACAGACAAACAGACAGACAGGACAAAAACAATATACCCCCGGGATCTTTCGATCCAGGGGCATAAAAATATATACCAATCCATGCATCCATTTTTTGTTTGTATCATCTGTCCTTAAGTTAAATGATATTTTAGTTATTGAATGTTAAACTAGCGTCTCGACTACCGAGTGAGAGGTGAACAGTAATTGATCAATCAATGACTGATAAGTATGCCATCTGAACGGTATACCATATAGTTCGTTTCGAGCTAATTTTGTCATAATTATATAGTCTCTGATATACTTCATTACCTTGTAAAAAGACGGTTGTTTTACTTGTAGCTTCTTTAATTAGTACTCCATCTTTGTACTCCACGAAACATTGGTACTTCCCGTCATCTTCACACTTGACGTCATTGATTATCAGAACAGCACTTCTAGAACTATTTTTAGGATTGATAAGATTAGATCTATTCACCAAGTAAATCCCATCTCCGGCGAGACTTGCATCACTCTGCCTAGGATCAAATCTTGCCAAATACTTGTTAACACCATGAACTAATTTTTTCCATTTTATTGTTTCTACAGTAATTTCTGTGGGGTATGTACAATTCAAAACAATGGGCGTATTTGATCCGAGTGTAACATTTATCTCTGAATTTGTTGTCACTGTTATTGAGCTGATACCTTAAAAAAAAAATAACAAGCACATGAACATGTAAATGTGTTGGTTTCCTTATCGTTAAGCTGCTCGATCACTGTTTTCGATTGTCTTTGAAACGGACTTTTAGAGATATGCAATTATCGCTTTCATTTATATAATGCATATCTTCTTTTTTCTCTCTAAAGAACACGCCGGTAGTTTTGTCTTAGTTTAAAAGTGATGTATTTTTCTACATTAACAAATAATTAAGTAGTAGAAATAAGTAGTGCTTAGTAATTGTTTTCATTTAGTAGTAATAGTTTATTTATTTATGATTTTACAATTACACATTTTTATTTATTGCATAATGTATTTGTGTGTGTTAACTGTTAAGGGAGAGGTATCTAAATAAAATATTAGACCAATAATAATAGTTAACTGTATCATTTGTAACCTTTGCTTTTATCAATTTTGACGGGTAATCGGTTACATTAAATAAATAATAAAGACTTAATCTCTTGAGAAAATTTCATCGGAAAATTAGATTTATACAAATGACTTTGCTCCTTTAAGTTCTAAAAGAATTTCATCTCCGCTGTCATTGATTCAATCGTGATGTAGTCGGTTGCAAATTGACTGCTTGATGACAAGACCATATGTTATTTTCAATGATAAATATAAGAAACACATTCGAAACCACACGTTTTTTTCTGTTGTTTTTATTTAAATTCCTGTGCATAGGGATAAGAAATTTTAAGCAGGTCTTCTTAAAGTGGGTCTTGAGAGGGAAACAAACATTTTTTTTTTTTAATTTAGTCTGAAAATAAAATTTCCAACAAATAATCAAATATTTTTAAATAAAACAAGGTATAAAAAGTTTTACCTTCAGCAAAGATAAGAATAAACAAACACGTTGTATGTATTTCCATTTTTCAGATTCTGTAAATATAAATAAAACTTCATCTTGAATGAAAAAGAGGTAAAGATAACGAACAGTGGTTGATCTTTAAAAAAAAATGCGACAAACAATACAAATTTGTAAATACAGACCTTGGAAATTCCAGAGATGGAATCAGGTGCCTATGAGGAGTAAGCATCCTCTGTTGACCTGTCAATCCCGCCGTGAGCCTTATGGGTTTATCAGGTAACGGAACATTCCGTAATCAAATTTAGCACAAAAATAAAGGCCTAACAATTGGTATGAAACACATCAGCCAAAACACGACCCAGTGATAGATATATTTACTAACAGGGTCATTATAAAGACCATAGAATTCACGAAAAGCTGACTTTGCAATGTTGACAAACATCATGACAGTGCTATTTTCAGTACAGAATTTTTATACACACCATTCCTTGGGATTAATGTTTATTCGATTTTTTCATAATAAGTTCACATCAATTAGGACATTTTTCATTAGCGATCGTCTTTTCCTTTTTTAATTTTTTAAGTATGCTAAAACGTCTTTCCCTTAAGCAAATATGTTTTAAATGCTTTTACTATTTTGTTAAGAATTTGTAATTACTTAAATTACCTTTTTTCTGAAATATATACGTAACATATGGTAATAAATATTTTTGAAGAATAAAAGAAATTTTATGATAAACTGTTTTCCACACGCTCCTGTGTCAAATAGTATCGATGCAGGTTCAGATTTGGGGAGGTAGCAACAGTGCAGAAATTTGACGACATGCAAAAACAAGGTTTATCAGGTATTATTTTAAGGGTCACAGCCGTAAATTAGCACCAGCTCCGGATCCCTCTCATACAGTTCCTATGAGTCAACAGGCAATTCGAAAGTTTTAGCAATGATGATAAAAAATCTAACCTGCAAAATTGTTGTAATTGGTGTGTGCAGACATCTATAGCTAACTAATTTTTTTTTCATATGTAGAATGAATCTCCTTTATGAGGCAAGCAAAGATAGAACCCAGCTAGAAGCCAACTAAAGGTAAGCCATCCCAGGAGATAAAAAAATAGAAATACATTAGAAAAGCAATGTTTGCATAGATAGTTTTGAATAGGAGAAATTTTTCTTCGTGAAAATTACTGGATTTGAAGAGTTCTTTAACAGGCACATAACTGCAAACTGGGCTAATTTCTCTTTAAATCACTAGATATCAATGTTATAATGGCTGAAAGTACACATACAATCTCTTAACCTATAAAAAAGATTTGTGACTTTACACAATTTCAATATCAATACATGAATAATCATTATTCATGTATTGTAAAGTAGTTAGGGTCTTTCGTCTCCAACGGAAGACCCTTCTATTATTCTATTGTTTCTTTTTCACTTTTATTAGGGTCTTCCGTCTTCAGCGGAAGACCCTTCTATTATTCTTCGGTTTCTTTTTTTACCTTTATTAAGGTCTTCCGTCTTCAGCGGAAGACCTTCTTGTTTTTCTTAGGTTTCTTTTTCACTATTTTTTGTTATTATCATTATTGTTTTTTATCTTACCGATTTTGTGCACGCGAGTTCTCGGAAACGGCTCGCTCGATTTTCATGAAACTTACAGGTCTGATAGAACATTAAAAAATCTAGACGTATATTTTTTTGTTTTGATGACGTCACTTCCGGTTCCGAGCTTTCCGCGATTTAGTGATTTTCGGAGGGTCACTTTGTCCGGCAGTTTCCTCAAAAGCGCTTCCTGGTAGAAGCATGAAATTTTTCAGCGATGATAGAGCATTATGTGTAGATGTGACATACGCATTTCTTTTTCCCCGGAAGTGCCGCACGTCGGCGCTCGCTATGGCCCGAAAAATGTCCTATCGGGATTTTAAAATTTCTAACACTTTTTCTACAATATCTTTTTACCTGTAAATATTTTGTTAAAACATATAGAACAAAAGTTGTGTAGAATGTTACGCTCTTTCAAAGGATATCAACAATAAGGGACTGGCCCCTAAAATTAGGGAACTAGAGGGGCCAAAAGTGTTTTCCTGATATCTCAAAAAGTATTGAGAATTTGTATAGCATCATAGAAGCAAAGTTGTTGAAAATGACAAGTAGCAGCTAAGGAGATCATCAAAAGTCGTCAAAATGACGTCACTTCCTGTCACACCGGAAGTAATGGTAAATGGCTCATTCTTGCCCATATGACCGTAGATGTCTCTCGATCTCGATCTCATCTCCTTGAAATTAAGACGGAAGACTTATTTGTTGCTTTGCAACAAGCTCGTCTAGTTATTATTCTTTTTTCTTCTTACAAAATTTGTGCAGACGATTTCTCGGAGATGGCTCGTTCGATTTCGTTCAAATTTTCATGGTAGATGCATTGACATCTGAAGTTAATTCCGGCAGTTTCGTTTAATTCCGGCAGTTTCGTTAAGCGATATTTACTTCCGGTCGGAAGTTATCGCCCTTTTATCAGAATTTAGAGGACCTCCTTGTCTGTGATGGAACTCAAAAACGGCTTAAGCTAGAGCGCTGAAATTTTCAGTGATGATAGAGGACATGTTGCCATTTTGCACCTGGGTTTGGATATTTTCCGGAAGTGCCTAGTATGGAAGCTCGGTAGGGGTCAAAATTTAGGACACGAATCATAAGTGAATTTTTGAGACATTTTGTATCATATCTTTTAAAGTATAATTATTTTGTTAAAACATACTGAAGAATATTTGTGCAGAATGACAAGATCTTTAATATGGTTTCAAGAAAAAAGGGCTTACTAATCATATAAGGGGCCAAGAGGGGCCAAAGGTATTAAATCAATAACTCTTTAACAATCAATATTTTGGTATACATTAATGAAGCAAAAAGTTTATCATAACAATTTACAACTATATATTATAATATTTATGTCATATGTTACATAATTAGGGGCCAAAAGGGGCAAGAATGCCAAATCTTTGGCACTCTATATCTCGAAAGTGGGAAATGTTTTGATAAGCAATATTGAATAAAAGATGTTGAAAATAATGTTCTAAACAATATGTAACCTTTCAATTTTTGCTAAACGTCCCCATTAAGGAGTTGAAGGGCTGGACCCTAAATATATCTTTTGCAAATATCTCAGAAACGAAAAAGAATTTCTGAATAGTTGTTGAACAAAAAGTGTTCAAAATCATAAGAGCTTTAACGTGGTATGAAGAAAAAGGGACTGGCCCCTCAAAATAGGGGCTGAGAGGGGCCTTTATTCAATAACTCTTTAATGATCAATATATTGCAATTCATTACTGAAGCAAAAATGTTTATCACAACAATTTCCAACTATATATTATGGTATTCACATCACATGTTACATAATTAGGGGCCATAAGGGGCCAGAAGGCCAAATCTTTGGCACTCTATATCTCGAAAGTGGGAAATGTTTTGATAAGCAATATTGAATAAAAGATGTTGAAAATAATGATCTGATCAATATGTAGCCTTTCGATTTTTGCTAAACGTCCCCATTAAGGAGTTGAAGGGCTGGCCCCTAAATATATCTTTTGCATATATCTCGGAAACGAAAAAGAATTTCTGACTAGTTGTTGAACAAAAAGTGTTCAAAATCATAATAGCTTGAAAGTGGTATGAAGAAAAAGGGGCTGGCCCCTCAACATAAGGGCTGAGAGGGGCCTTTAATCAATAACTCTTTAATGATCAATATTTTGTAATATATTACTGAAGCGAAATAGTTCATCTTCACACTCTTTATATCTTATGCAATAAGGGATCATTAGGGGTCAGATTGTATAATCTTTGGTGCAATAAATCTTGAAAAGGAAGAATAGTTTGATAACCAATATTTAACAAAAGACGTTCAAAATAATATTTTTAATAATATACAATCTTTCAATTCTTGCTAGACGTCCCCATTTAGGACTTAAAGGGCCTGCCCTTAATATTTCTTTTGCATATATCTCGGAAACGAAAAAGAATTTCTGAATACATGTAGTTGTTGAACAAAAAGTGTTCAAAATCATGAGAATTTTAAGATGGTATCAAGAAAAAGGAGCTGACCACTCATATAAGGGGCCAAAAGGGGCCGAAAGTTTTTAATCTATGACTTTTTATTGATCAATATTTAGTTACACATTACTGAAGGAAAATTGTTTTTCTTAACAATTTATTTATGTAACTATTTTTTAACGAAAATCTCAGTCAAATTCTTATCTCATCTTATCGAAAATCGGACGGAAGACCCACTCGTTGCTCGCAACGAGATCGCATCTAGTTATTATTAGGGTCTTCCGTCTTCTGCGGAAGACCCTTCTATTATTCTATTGTTGATTTTTCACTTTTCTTATTATTAGGGTCTTCCGTCTTCAGCGGAAGACCCTTCTATTATTCTATTGTTTCTTTTTCACTTTTATTATTATTCTTTTTTTTCTTTACAATTTTTGTGCAGACGATTTCTCGGAGATGGCTCGATCGATTTACTTGAAATTTTCAGGGAAGATGTATCTTTATCTGAAGCTTATACGTTTTTTTCAATTTTTTGAAAATCACTTCCGGTCGGGAGTTATCTCCCTTTTATTAAAATTCAGAGGACCTCCTTGTCTGCGATGGAACTCAAAAATGGCTTAAGCTAGAGCGCTGAAATTTTCAGTGATGATAGAGGACATGTTGCCATTTTGCACCTGGGTTTGGATATTTTCCGGAAGTGCCTAGTATGGAAGCTCGGTAGGGGTCGGAATTTAGGACACGAATCATGAGTGAATTTTTGAGACATTTTGTATCATATCTTTTAAAGTATAATTATTTTGTTAAAACATATTGAACAATATTTGTGCAGAATGACAAGATCTTTAATATGATATCAAGAAAAAAGGGCTGACTTATCATATTAGGGTCTGAGAGGGGCCGAAAGTCTTTGAACAATAACTCTTTAACGATCAATATTTTGGTATACATTACTGAAGCAAAAATGTTTATCTTAACAATTTACAACTATGTATTAAAATGTTTATGTCATATGTTACATAATAAGGTGCCATAAGGGCACAGAATGCC